CACTCTCTCTCACACACACTCACTCTCTCTCACACTCACTCACTCTCTCTCACACTCACTCACTCTCTCTCACACACACTCACTCACACACAGACAGACACACACTAACATTCAGTGCATTCTCATTAATGCAAGCTTTTATAAAGTATGAAGTATCAAACTCTAAACCACAGTTCCAGTAACCAGAAGTCCCAAAAATGTGTTCATCAGTCTGACTGAGACTCAAAAACAACTCCAGGCCAAATGAAATGTTCATGTTTCGCTGAGTTCAGCTCTGAATCTATCAGTGTGGGTTTGATCCTGTTAAAGACTCACTTCACTTGTTTATCTGCAGTTTAAGTTCCTGCGGAAGGACAAGGAGCCGCACGTACGGCTGGAGGGGAGAGACTGCGACGACTGGAAGTGCATCGACTTCGGTGTGTGTTTCTTCTGACCGTGACTTGTGTGTGAGAGTGTGTGTGTGTTAGTGTGTATGAGTGTGTGTGAGTATGAGTGTGTGTGTGTGTGTGTGAGAGTGTGTGAGTATGAGTGTGTGTGAGTATGAGTGTGTGTGTGTGTGTGTGAGAGTGTGTGAGTGTGTGAGTATGAGTGTGTGTCTGAGTGTGTGCGCGCGAGTGGGTCGGTCTGTGTGAGTGTATGTGTGTGAGAGAGAGTGGGTCGGTCTGTGAGTGTGTGAATATGTGAGTGTGAGTGTGAGTGTGTGAGTATGAGTGTGTGTCTGAGTGTGTGCGCGCGAGTGGGTCGGTCTGTGTGAGTGTATGTGTGTGAGAGAGAGTGGGTCGGTCTGTGAGGGTGTGAATATGTGAGTGTGTGAGTATGAGTGTGTGTCTGAGTGTGTGCGCGCGAGTGGGTCGGTCTGTGTGAGTGTATGTGTGTGAGAGAGAGTGGGTCGGTCTGTGAGTGTGTGAATATGTGAGTGTGTGAGTATGAGTGTGTGTGTCTGTGAGTGTGTGTGTGTGTGTGTGTGTGTGTGTGTGTGTGTGTGTGTGTGAGAGAGAGTGGGTCGGTCTGTGTGAGTGTGTGTGTGAGAGTGTGAGTATGAGTGTGTGTCTGAGTGTGTGTGTCTGTGAGTGTGAGTGTGTGTGTGCGCGAGGGGGTCGGTCTGTGTGTGTGTGTGAGAGAGTGGGTCTGTCTGTGTGAGAGTGTGTGTGTGTGAGTGGGTCAGTGTGTGTGTGTGTGTGAGAGAGAGAGTGGGTCGGTCTGTATGAGTGTGTGTGTGTGAGAGTGTGAGTATGAGTGTGTGTGTCTGTGAGTGTGAGTGTGTGTGTGCGCGAGTGGGTCGGTCTGTGTGTGTGTGTGAGAGAGTGGGTCTGTCTGTGTGAGAGTGTGTGTGTGAGTGGGTCAGTGTGTGTGTGTGTGTGAGAGAGAGAGTGGGTCAGTCTGTATGAGTGTGTGTGTGTGAGAGTGTGTGTCTGAGTGTGTGTGTCTGTGAGTGTGTGTGTGCGCGAGTGGGTCGGTCAGAGAGAGAGAGTGGGTCGGTCTGTATGAGTGTGTGTGAGAGTGTGAGTGTGTGAGTATGAGTGTGTGTCTGAGTGTGTGTGTCTGTGAGTGTGTGTGTGCGCGAGTGGGTCGGTCTGTGTGAGTGTGTGTGTGTGCGCGAGTGGGTCGGTCTGTGTGAGTGTGTGGGAGTG